CCATCTAAGAGTATCACTGCTGCCACCCTCTGGTTTAGAGAGGAACTGCTAGTTCCAGAAATCACTTTTTGGGGCCTATTGGGGCCCATTGATTGAGGACATACTGGTCAGTAGCTCTGCCCACATTCACCAGTACCATTAACAGTAAAACAGCCTTAAAGCATGACGCTGCCACCACCATGTTTGAGAGTCTGTCCATTGTTGTTTTTAAAGTCTCGTGCTGCCTCCTCCAAAGACTTTTTGTCATAAATCTGACCAAGCAGCTCCATCTTGGTGTGATCTGACCATTAATGCCCCAAGAAGGAATTTTGTGACCATAAGTGGAAATTTACTTAACCCCACTGTGCTTTAAAGGTTGATTGGATCCTTTTTGATTTTTTTTTAGAACTGGAGTCATGAAATTAGCACACAGAGCATAACACATTGCTCTGTGGAAGATCAGAATTTTGAGCCAGACACAGAGTATGCTGCAATCGTGCGTTCAGGCCCAGATATGGATTACTTCGAAGGCCAATGGAGCGAGTGGTCCTCGAAGGTTCTCTGGAGGACAGAGGCAACAGTTAAAGGTGAGAGATTAAAACATTGTATTGCTTTACCAAATTATGCAGATTCCAGAGTTGAAAATGTCTCCCGCTGCTTGTTTTTGTTGGTGCAGCCGCTCCACAGATTGAAGGATTCACCTTCAATCTGCCCTTGATGTTCATCATTATCTCTGCTGTGGTTTTAATTCTGATGGTGGGCTACGGTTCTGCCAGAAAGTAAGGCTACTCTGCTTTTAACACTGCAAAAAATGTTAATCTTAATAAGTCAATTTTTTAAAAAATAAGTTTATTTTTTCCTGAACTGAGGAGGCACGTGAGACACTTTGCCAATGGAACAAGACAATTTACATTTAAAATGAGAAAAAAAACTATTGCAATGTCTTATTTCAAGTGAGTTTTATCTAATTATCTTATTTTAAGAATAAAAATACTCATTCCATTGGCAAATCCTCTTACTTACCTACTCAAATTAAGAGTAAAAACACTAAATTTAAGAAATCTTTACCTATTTCTAGATTGTTTTTGCATTGAAATTACTTTACAAAGAAAAATATTTATCTAGCTTATAAAAAAGGTTTTTCTGAAAAATGTATTTTGACACAGGTGGAGGCGTGGTACTTTCATCCCAACACCTGCTCCTTATTTCCAATCTTTGTATAAAGACTGCCAGGGGGATTTTAAGGTAAGTTCAGCTTTTCATTGAAACTTCCTGCAATGAGAAGAAGAAAATAAAATAAAAAACAAACCTCCAACCCATTTCTGTCATGGCAGAGTTGGGTCGTTACACAAGAAAACACAGCAGACATACTGAAAGCAGAAGAAGCCCTCCAAATCGACACCCTGATAGAGTACGTGGAGGTGCAGGAGTATCCAGCCACGTTCCCCCTGCAGCTCGTGGAGAACAGAGCTTACGGCAACATCCAATCATCCCCTGTGGACAGCGACCTTCTCAGCATGCAGTACTCAGACGGCAGCACCATCGTCCAGAGGAGGTCAATAAGGAGTCTTCCTGGGTGCTGCCAGTCATGCAGTCCTCTTCAGGACTCTGGCTGCTGGCTCTGCAGTGACACATCCCTGGAGAAGGAGCCTTCCTGGTACTGCAACGAGTACTGCACCCTGGGTTTCCTCCAGGAGACCGGCTGTGTCACAGCAGGACACCATGGAGGGCTGAAAACCAACCCCAACATCTCAGAAATGATTGAATCAGACGCTGTAATAGAAGCATAAAGCTCATATTTTTATATAAAGTTGGTGGAAGTTAATATGGAGCGCTTCCTCTAACTTTGTCAGGTTATAGGATACACATTCAGCCCCCATGAGGCAATACTTCTTAAAGCCGTCTTCACTGAGGTTGCATTTGGAGGCCTTTGTTGATGAATGCTCTCCTTGACCAGCCTGTAACCTTTGATGAACATATTTTGTTAGTCCATCATCTTTATGCTGTACAGAACATTTAGAGATGTTCAAAGCTGGCTTTAAAAACCCATTTCAAAAACCTTCTCCCTGGCCTGTCTGCTGCCCTCCTTGGTCTTTATGATTCTGGTTGTTTTCCAAATAGACAGCTGTACTATATATCTGGCTGATATTAGAGATGTTTTCCTGCAACCGCACCGTCAGATATGTTCATATATTCCATTTGTTAGTGCTTTTAAAACCTTGATATCTCATGAAGCTGTTCCATTTGGCGTCCATTGTGCCTTTCTTTGAGAAGTGTAACATTTGTGTAATTTATCATGTAAATATTGTACTAACATCTGCAGCATATTGAGGATCAGTTAGATGGACGTCAACATAATTGGTTTTGGCCTTAAAAAGAAATCTTGTACTAATCAAAGGTCTGAGGGAGCTTCACTTATACATGGATGAGGGTCATGCGATTAAAGGGGAACTCATTTTGTTTCATTTACAAAAACGTATAGCAGAATGTTCATCTTCAAATAAATACACTAACTTTTTTTGCATACCAAAATCTTTCTAAAAAAAATATTCAAAACATTCATATATTCTGTAAATACTGTTTAGTTATGTTGAAAGCCAACATGTGGCATTTTTTTCTGAGCATTGCTCAAAATATTATGAAACTGATCGCTTGAATAAACAAGTATGCCAACCTTTTGTAGAAAGTTTTATTAAGCCAACACATACATGAACAAAGCACCATATAACCTTAAAGTACAGAAGTAAGCCTACCTGCCTCAGTTACTGTGGCCATTTTTATTTATCCCATAGCAAACACTCTGAATAACAAAAAGACAGTCAAGGCAGCAGATCCTATCATATATTACAGCATGCTGAATAGAAAAACCTGGGAAAGAAAAATTAGACTGGACCATCTAGAGACACTATTGGGATACAACAGTATAAAAGTGCCATTCATTATACAGCAGTTCAAATACTGACAATGAAATAAGCCATTTTTTTTTTACATTACATTTATGGAAAACAGGGAAAAGGGAGGGAAACGAAAAAGAGACCCTGTGAAAGAGCAAAATAAAACAAAGACATTTTACTTCCATGAACAAATCAATGACAAACAGCTCGCATGGAGATGATGGAAAAACTGAAGCTGTGTCCCTTGCACCTCATAAGACAATGTTTAAAAAGAAACAACCGGGGTGCCGAAGCACCTGTCCCCTCCCAGCTTCATGCGCCAACCGGCAATTAAGATCAAAAAGGATAGGTGAAGGGAGTACGGATGGCACAGAATGTGTGGAGTTTAAATAGAAGTCTTTAAGCGAGTCCCGATGTGAGAGGAGCACATTCATTGAGAGGCCGAGCGGGGAGGTGATTCTTGTTAAACCCATTCCTTCAGCCGCAGGGGGAGGGGCTTCGCCTCTTACGACGGAGAGTATTTTTTGGCCTGTGCTCGAACTCTTTTCTCATATTCTACTCTGTTTTGGCTGAAAAAAAAAATAATAAATAACTGTTATTACATGGAAATACAAGCAAATGATATTATTAAGTAATTCTCTAGATCAGGGGTCTTAAACGTTTTCCAGGCCAAGAAGCCCAAAACTAGTGGCGAGATGGAGCGGGGACCCCCTAATTATACATATTGTGTTATATCAAACTGGTCCTATAGTCACTCTACTAGATATGGAGTAATGTAACAAAAGTAATTTCACCCTGGGATTATTGAAGTATTTTTGATTCCTGGTTGATGGGGCAGGTGTTGTGAATGAAACGGTGCCCAGCTTGAAAGAGCTCCTGTGCGTCGCTGAATGTGTGCATTGATGACTGAAAGACATCTTCCGCCTCCATTTATCTGTTTACTACAGTGTGTTGAATTTATGTTAATGTGTATTTAAAGACATTTCAATTAGAAAAAAAAAAATTGAAAAAAAATAACGGGGAGAATATTCAAAAAAGGTAAACAAACTTTTGCGACCCCCATGCAACACCTCTGTGGGCCCCCTAGGGGTCGTGCACCCCCGTTGAAGACCTTTAGATGTCTGAAGTCATGCAAAGGTTTTATACAGGAATGAATAACTGAAATTTAATGCTTTTTAATGCCACCAACAGGTATCCGTCAACAGGCTGCAGCCATGTCCCGAATTCCTCGTTTGAGACACTTTGTTGAAATGTGCTTTTTTTCCCGCCCATTCTCTAGCTTTTTCTCCGACTCAAGCTTCTTTCCTGAACATACAGCTTTGCGATCAACCGGAAGCAGTTCCATGCAAATATATTGTGACATAATATGTCCAACGAAATTGTTTTTATAAAAAATTTTTAATAAAGCATTTTAAATGCCACAATAAACATATTTAATGAATTTTAATGCCAATTAAGGCCTTAATTTAAAAATAATTTAATGACTTTTAATGACCCGCGGAAACCCTGATGTAGAAAATTAGAAGCCTTGAGACATGAAGTTTAACACCAGATCTATATTTACAGTCAGCCAGGAAAAACCAGGACCAAAAGTATTAAACATGACAGTCAGTCCAACATGGCGACCATAAGATAACTTTAAGCACATACTGAACTTTTGGACCGGATCCGTTACATAAACATCCTTTTCCAAGCCGCTGCATGATTTTGATTTCGTTCACCGATTGCCGTAAAGTATTAGGTCTTGTGATACAGGTGCATCTCAATTAAAACGTTGGTGAAAAAGTGAAACTGCTTCAAACGCACTGGTAAATTTAAAATGCCTATTTCTGTTGATAATTCTGGCCTCGAGGTTAAAAAAAGAACCAAAAAAAAAGCAAACTTTGGTTTCTCAAGAGTCATTTTTATCAGATGCAGGTTTAACAGAACCACAGCGAAGACTGCAGACTTCACAGCCGAAAAATTCAGGTTAGTCACATCCAGTCAAAGCCTGTTCATATACTGGTGAATCCAAGCACATAACTGGAAAGTTTAGTGGAAGGAAAAAGTGTGGAATGATCAAACACGTCATCCCTACCCTCTACAGATCTACAGAACAGGAACACATTCTCCGGTTGGCCCATTTTATTATAATGACCTATTGAAATCTTTTTAACTGTAAAATTCTAAATTTAAATAGGAAGCAATAAGAATCATATGAATGTAGATTTTTACTTTTAGATTCAAGTTACTGACACAGTTCTACTTTTCAATAACTCATATTGAAATTTAGCAATGATAATTTATGATGTTTGTGTGGGTTTTATAATGTGCTACATAAATGAATTCATATAAAACATTTGTGTCTTTAGCTTTGGGCTTAGAGCAAAACCTTTATAAGTCAGTCAAACAGAAAAAAAAAAATTCTTAAATCAAACAGCAAGATTTAACAAACCAAGCTGCTCCTGGCTCTGAAATACAGTTTGCTTATTTGAGGAATTAATTACCTTGTAAAGCATCATACCGCATTAAGCAACAAGTGGCGGCATTTTTTAAAAGGAAAAAAAAGTTGCATATCGCATTCAGTGTTATTTAGATGATCAAATGTGCTAAAAGTGTTTGCATTAATGGGAAGTCTTCCTCCTGAATATGTTTTCTAGGTAATTTTAGATCTGTAATAAAACCTTTGGGTAAATTTATAATCTTTGGTCCCAAAGCTACTTTACAATACAAGACGTCGGGTAGCTTCCTGACAGGAGACACAGTCCTAAACACCCAGGATGCATCGCTCAGTGCAGCGGGATGGATGTCAAGTAATAAAAATTAGGTCTAACTTCTAACTGGGGTTTTGATAAAGCTTTTCAGAAATTAGGTCACAGATCAAATAGCCGATTCAAAACACTGGTATAAAAAGTGTTTTACAGCAGATCACAGAGCAGCAGTTATTAGACAGGTTCTAGTTAAAACAGTGGCAGCTGGCTAACAGAGGGTGCCGCCCCATCCACCCAAAGATATTGATTAAGACAAAAAAAAAAAATTATAAACTTAAAATATATCAATATATTTTCTAGATATGCAAGACAGATGTGTAATATTTAATGACAAGGAAAGCTGTTTTTTTTTTTTTTTTGGATTGGTGACGTATTTTCTCCCTGGCTTGCAAAAATCTTTACCCATTGACTCTCGTTAAAAATTGTACATGCGCAGTAGCTCATCTGCAATAGTTGGACTCGTCTTCTCCCCCTTCTGGGAAAAACAAAACAGATCAAAGTTTAAGGATCTGTTGGACTTGTGAAGGACTGGAAGTATGAAACCTTTAAATTAATAATATTGCTTTTGTTTGTTTTAAATATTAATATATTTCCATTTTAAAACTTTATATTTGGTGTTAATGTTCCCCTCCCAGTCTCCATTACCAACCAGTCTTCTGATGCTACTAACCATTGATAACTTTGTGAAGCTTAGCCAATAGTGTTATGTGATGCTTTTATTCTGTTTTCACTTCCTCCTTTTTCCAAACGTCATTGTCTGACCCAGCATATATTAAGACAGGTATGACTGATTTAAAGCACTGTACAGAAAACGTCAGTGGTTTTTATTTGTTAACATAGATGCAAATATACTGGTGTGATACCTTAGGATACATTTGACTGTTTTTTTTTTTTTGGCATATGTCTATTTTGAAGTTATAGCCCACTGATTTAAAAGTACATTTTTTGTTTTTGTTTTGTTTTTTAACAGTAAAGCTGTTGAGAATCAGTCAACCTCTCTTCACAATAAACTTCACACTAGAGGTCCAGTAAGCCCATGAATAAGTACCTGGTGAATAAAGAGCAGATGATAGAAGGAAAATGAGGGAAGTCCAGCTACTCACCAGTAGATTGTGTAAGCCTCTGCTTGGGCTGGATCCTGAATATTTGGCTCGTTTAGGAGTTCCTGGATACCTAATAAGATCTAAGTAGAAAACAAACATGTGTAATACTGCAGCCATGACCTTCAATGATCTGATTCTGCTTCAGAGATGATCTACTTAACAATCCAAACCTGCTTTATTGTGATGGCTGGTCTCCAGTCCTTGTCCTCCTCTAGAATAGATAGGCATACTGTCCCCGATGGATACACGTTTGGATGGAAGAGCGGAGGCTCAAATTTACCTGAAAAACAAACATTTCTGATTCATGTTTACCTGTATCAAGCATTTTTTTGAGAACAGAAGCACTGTGATAGTTTGACAATAAAAGTCAAGTCATATTTGCAGCTATTAGGTTTCTCCAGAAGCAGAGAAGTATAGTACTGCTATCCATGATTCTGATTGTTCTGAGCGCCGAGTGTGACTGATGCATTATGGCTTTCCATGTTTAAGCAAAAGGCTCAGAAACTGCTGCTGTTCCTGCATCACAGAAAGAGAAAAAGGAAGGCTCAGTTCACCCCAGTTGGAATGACATGATAGGAACAAGTTTTTAGATGTTAGATGAAAGCAAAGTCCACTGAGGGATCATCGTTTCATAGCATCTGTGGGGTGGAAAAATATTTCAAAGTCCTTAAACATTGATTATCTGTCAGATACGAAACACAGCCATCACTAGGAGCCCAAAAATCAATCCACCCCTACCATTATGTCTCAAGTTATTGAGATCATGTTGGAAGGAAACCAGTAAGTCTCTGGGTTACTAAAGACTTTTCCAGAGTCCCCAGTTCTCCTTTTTTTGCTATTATTGTTATGAAAGCTATAAATAAATAAAGGTTCTGATTTGATAGACGTTTCTACAGTCATAAAACATGATGGAGGGATATACTGAATATTTCCATTTCAGGCTTCCATCAAGAAATTGTACGACTATAATCAAATTCCCAACATTTCCAAACTCTGCAGGAGCCCTGAAATCCAACACATTTTACAGTAAAAGAATTAAATAAAACGAGAAGTAGTTATGCTAATGAGTAGCAACTATATTTCCACATTTCAGGGCAAAAACAAAAAACGCACACCCAGGGAGCACATGAACGTCACCAGGAACCATAAAATTGTTCTGTTTACTGTTCATCTGATGGCCAATAAAATCAACCTTATCAACAAGAAACACTTCCAGTGAGGATTTATCAATTCTCTCCAAGCTAATAAGATGACGAATCACAAAAACTCACATTTTGGAGGTGATGAGGGGTAATCATCCTTGAACAACATCCGCAGTTTGAACAAACCTCCTTCCCATGGCGTCTGAGAGGAGAAAGAATAACAATTACCATACCAGGAAAAAAAAGGATGGAGAAATAAGTTTTCACTAATTTGGAAAAAACAAGAACAGCTGCAGCCAGGTTGAGATTAAGGAGGGAAACATTTGCCATTTCTCCGTCTTTAAAGAATGTTTCCTAAAGTAATTATTTTTGCAATTCCTGGATTCAGTGAAAAATAGATCTTTAAGACATTCTTCAGTTATTTTGAGCAATATAACATGCAAGAGCTCCACATTTCCATTTATTACAGCTTACCCCTTTTTTCCCAGGAATAGCACATTCCCAGTTCATGAGATTCATGGTTCCATCTGGATTTTTTGTGGGCACGGCAACAAATCCCTGGGAAAGAACGAATGAGGCAGATGGAATTTAGATAGACTTTGCACAGAAAGTTATGATGAGAAACCTCAACAGGTGCATGATCTGAGATGGGACTTACAAAAGGATGGTCCTTCCGCCACGCCTTGCGCTCCTGTGCAAGCCGGCTCAATGCAATGCCTGACATTTTTGGACTCCTTGAAAGAACAAAATACGGTATTAGAAGAATTATTTACTTGTTTGCAAAAAATTATACTTTATATTGCTGAAATGTAGTAATGTTATTTGTCAGGATCTAAATTTTAAAGAATAAGAGGCTTGTGGGATAAATTTAAGCACTAAAACAGTTAACAGTTTACCTTAAACTTCTACTAGACTCGGTGTGAAGCAAAGTAAACACCATTAAGCAACAATACCTCATAGTTTTGATCCATTTATCTTCACAATTTTACTGCAGATCATTGAATAAGTCCCCCCCTAAAAAATATTTGATTGATTTCCTTGTATAATATAAATTCTAGTGGATTGCAAACTAGCATCAGGTAAAATTAGTAAAAAAAAAAAAAAAAAAACACTTGTGTAGAGTTCAGCATTTCTTCATTACTTTTTTTTAACGGGCTAAAAGTCTGTACAAGTGATAGTATCTGTACCTTCTTTCTACCAGTTTATGGTTGTAGTTGGATACAAGTTATCATCAAGGATAACTGCTTTGATGTCTCTCAAAGCATTAAAATAAAACACGCCGTTTACAAGCATTAGATGAATCTCTTAACCGTTGTCTATCACTTAAGTTAATAAATGGGCTGTTTGTGTTGGCCTTTGGGCAGAGAACCTAAGAAAGCAGCATTTTATCTGGCATGTCTGGAAGGCTAGCATAGTTAGCTTGTGCTAATAACTGAACAGGAAATGCTTTCCATCGCGCTGAAAGCTTGAAAGAATCCAATACGACCTTGTCCTTAAACAGAAAACCACTACAGAGCTGTGTTGGAGTGTTTTGTTCGCTCTTAAATAACAAAAAACTGACCGCGAATGTTAAATGATTAGCATGCTAACCTATTAGCTCAATAAGCTAACTCATGTGCGCCAGAATCGCGCTACATCCCAACAGGCGCAGTTAGCGTCTGCCATGGCCTGATGCAGCAAAAAAAAATGCGCAAGTGTACTTGATTTAGACAATTTTGAATATGAGGAAAGTAACCGCCACTGTTTACCCGGCGCTAAAAAAACAACTATATACTGTTTTAGTCGGATTTTATCAGAGAAAAACCTTCACGGATGTAAACTTGTCATGAGCCATTAAAGAATAAGGACAAAGAGGCGCACATTTATGCGTTACCAAACTAGCGAAAATGGCGCAAAGTGAAAGGGTAAAAATATATCGATACATGACCGGAAAATCCAGAGAATAGCCATCGATGTCGGTTCCTACCTCTCTCGGTGTGGCTGTACAGGCTCTGCTTATTAAGCGAAATGAATTAATCGTCCTCGAATCCCGTTAAATCTTGTAAAGTTTCCCTCCCGAAAAAATCCACCCGCTCCGAGTCGAGCCTCAAACAGCGACGCCAAGCTGTTACCCACCCCGCTCACTTCCGGTTTGGCCTAAATGCTCCCTCTGAGGACATGTTTTCACTTTCTATGTTGAATAGAATAGAATAGAATAGAATAGAATAGAATAGAATAGAATAGAATAGAATAGAATAGAATAGAATAGAATAGAAAATCCCTTTATTGTCCTACAATGGGGTAATTCTGGTGTTTACAGTAGCAAAAATATTATAGAAAGATGTCTCACACAAATGTTGACCTTAGAAAAATTTATAAGAATAACATACTAGTGAAGAGTTAAAAGATAAACAATAAAATACTGCACTGTAAAGGGTTTTAACAATATAAAAACTGTGCAACTGGAGAATCAGAATCAGAATACTTTAATAATCCCAGAGGGAAATTACTTTTGTTACACGCTCCAGTTACAGTTTTATATAACACTCATCCAACTATACAATATAATAAAGATAAAAAATAAGAATAAATAACCAATATACAGCTATGGAAATTTTTTACAATAATGGATATTTAAAAATAGCTGAAACATCAGAGATATGCAAAATGAAAGCAGCATGTTATTTAACTGACTAAGATAGAAACTGTGCAAATTCAGCATGAGTGTAACAAGTTATTGAGGTTGTTGGGAACACTGTTGGTTATAGAGATATAGAGCTATTGGGAGGAAGGATGTGTGATAACGCTTCTTGGTGCGTTTAGGGTGCAGCGGTCTGTCACTGAAGGAGCTCTCCAGTTCTGCAACAGCTTAATGCATGAGGTGGGAGACATTATCCAACAGATATGGTAATTTGGTTAGGATCCTTTTGTTTCCCATCTCCTGCATTGAGTCCAGAGGGCATCCAATCATAGAACTGGCCTTCCTGATCAGTTTATCCAGCCACTTTCTCCCACTGCTCCAACAGACAGCTCCATATAAGATGGCTGATGCCACAGCAGAGTCAAAGAAGGTTTTTAGGAGAGCCCCCTAAAAACCTAGAGCCCACCCAAACATCCTAGGATAATGATGTAGGTGATGTTTGTGAATTCATATTTCATAGGAAAGAATGGTAAAAATACACCAGATACAAAAGTATTTGCCTTTTCTAAAAGCATAAAAATGTGACAGAGATTCTAATTATTCTGCATAACATGTTTTACCTACTATTTTGTAAAATGTTTTAAATATTTTAAAATAGTTTAATTGCTCATGGTTTCGGTCACTAAAAAAATTCTGCATTTTTCAACCCTGGTCCTCAAAGCACACTGCCCGGCATGTTTTGGATGTTTCCCTGCTTTCACACTCCTGCTGTCAATTGTTAGCATATTATAAGTCTTTGCTGAACAGAAGTCATCTGGAATCAGGTGTGTTGAAACTGAGAAACACCCAAAATATGCAGGAAAGTGTGCCTTGAGGAACAGAGTTGAAAAACACTGATTTTAATGCGCAGGGTTTCTCGTTGACGCCAAAGCTGGGTGGGGTTCTATCTTGTTCAGTATATCATCTTTGTTGCGAGCCGCAGACCGTTAACCTAAACAACTATTTATTAAACCAAAAAAAGAAAGTCTATTGTGTTCACCCGCGAAAAATTTTTTTTTTTTCATTTTGACGATGCGTAATATTAAATTATGTCACAAACTAGTGTAATGAATAGTTTAAAATATTGGACATTTGAACAGGCGTTTTCCAGACTACTATGAAATTAAAATGAGTTCTAACGACATGACACTAGAGGTCGCCCTTTGCTACCACGAATTTAGTGATGAGTCACAGATTAACTTTCTTGCGGGAAAAATAACTTCTCTCAGGATTTACTTCTGATTTTTTTTTTTTTTTACATGTAGTTGTCAAAGTACAAAGGGATTTTCACATTTGCAATGAGATGAGCAATGTTTATTACATTTTTAAAATATGTGTTTAATAATTCATAATACAACAAAAATGTTGCTCGTTTGCCTCCTGACGCTTTATATTTACCCTACTATACAATTCAGTTTATTTATATAGCACAAATTCACAACACGTCATCTCAAGGCATGTTACAGTTCACCAGATCATCCAGTCAGATTGATTCAAAGTTTTCTATCTAAGGAAAACCAGTTGATTGCATTAACTAATTGACTCCTCAGCAATTCCTCATGGTAAGCATGCTTGTAGCGACAGTGGAGAGGAAAAACTCCCTTTTAAG